TTCAAAAATCCAATCCAAAAATGGGCATCTGAGATGAATACGCAATTCTCAGATGAAGAAATGCAAATGGCAAATAAATACATGAAAAAATGTTCATCATCATTGGTCATTAGAGAAATGCAATTTAAAACCACACTGAGATACCATCTCACTCCTGAAAAAATGGCCAGGATCAAGAAAACCAACAACAACAAATGCTGGAGAGGCTGTGGGGAAAAAGGAACTCTCCTGCACTGTTGGTGGGAGTGTAGACTGGTGCAGCCTTTGTGGAGGTCATTCTGGAGATTTCTCAAAAAGCTGGGATGGAAGTCCCATTTATTTCAGCTATTCCACTTCTAGGCATATTCCCAGAAGAACTGAAAGCATCATACCACAGTGATATATGTGCACCTATGTTTATAGCAGCACAATTTGTAATCACCAGATCTTGGAAATAACCCAAGTTTCCATCAACTGAGGAATGGATAAAAAAGTAGTGGTATTTCTATACAATGGAGTATTATTCAGCTATAAAGAAGGATCACATTGAGATATTTTTCAATAAATGGGCGCAGCTTGAGACCATACTCATAAGTGAAATAAATCAATCTCGCATGTGTGAATACCGAATAGTTTCCCTAATGTAAGTAATGATTCAAATATATAAAAATATGTGGTAATCATGATTCCCCATTATGTGGCCTTGAAGCCTTATAAAGTTTTCACTTATTAATTGGAAAGGCTTTATTCTGGGCTTCTTGATATGGAAATATTTGAAGCTATAGTATATGAAGTTTTATTCAAATATTTCAAGAAAAAAGACAGACACTATGGTAACTACTATTAAGTCGGATTATTTGGTCGTGAAGCACTAGGTTGCTGAAACAGTCATGCTTTGACCTCTATTGTTATATTGTTATGTCCTGTTTTATCTCAATCTCTCCCTTATTCTTTAAAAAAATTATTTAGTTATTTCTTATGTTTGTTTTAATTAAGGGGAAAAATTTTAAAAAAATTAGCAGGATATATAATAGTAACTTCTTTTGATTTCCTATTAACTTGTTTTGAAGTCCTGTAATACTCCCACGATCTTGTTTTGACTGATTAGACTCTGTTCCGTTCTGTATGATAGTATCAAGTTTGAGGGTATAGGCAACTACTTTGAAGTCAATAAGATTCACTAAGATGCCCATGCTGGTTTGACTATTGTCTCCTTTGGAAGTCCTGTAATGTTTACAATGCTTAACTTTTATTGGTCTTGTTCTCTACTGTTTTGTTCAACTCTATAATATCTAATGAGATAGACAATTCTTTTTAAAGAAACAAGAGACATCGTTAATAACCATTGTTGATAAGCTTGTACTCTGTTTTACATCATGTTCTATGTCTATCCTTGGTTTTGACTGACAGCTTTGTTTTGCCATATTTGACTTTAGTCTCTCCCCCCCCAAAATGTAATAAGAACTAAGGAGTAATAAAACCCAAAATGTGTAAATTTTGTTGTAAAAAAGAGAGGGAAAAAACAGAGCTCTAAAGGATACAACAGCAAGTGTGTTTAGGGGTGTTAAATAGCTGACCATATTAATGTTTTTGGTTGGATCATTTAACACAACTGTTTGCAGTCTCACTTTATGAATGTCCACTTTGTATTCTTTGATACTGTGATTTGAGCAACTATTTCTAAGATGATAATATGTAATCTATTAACTGGCAATTTCTTACTGTTTTTTTTTTTTTTTTGTAGTTCTGTATTGTACCCTTACACCGCTTTGTTTTGTTTTGTGTTTTTCTCTTTTTCCTTTTAAATAAAATTTAAAAAAAAAGAAAGAAACAATGTAGCGTGATGTTAACATTCTTTGACATCACTGTACTTCAGTTTTCTGGATCTTCTGTCTTCCAGTTTAGAATCGTCAGAACAACTATGCTATTGTGCTAAGGAGAAAACACAATCAGGGAAAACAATCTAAGACCTCTGTGGGCAGGAATGCATCCTACTCCTTTGAAGGATCTGCCCATATTTGGCTGTGATGGGGAATCGCGAAAGGCTGCCTTAGTCATAGCTGGGATCACCTGTGAGACCGGCACATCTCAAAGCAGGGCAGGTGTGTGTGGGCTCATTGCAGGGATTTTCAATCTGTGGTCAGCTGGCTCCAAGGTAGAAACAGCATGTTGGAAGGATCTGGCGGAGGACACCTGCTCGACTCATATCAGCCAGGAAGCAGAGAGAGGAAGGAGGAGCTGGACAAGGAGTGGCCAGGGAAAAGATACAACCCCAACTTACAACCTAAGACCCAACCAGACACACACAGTAGTGTGATTTCCTAATCCCTTAGGCATCTCTCAGGCCAATCCAAGTGGTAGTGAAGATTAACCAGGCAAAAGGACTAAAGAATAACTTGTCACTTGCATACGAATCATATCACGGGAACAGTATCATGTTTTTCCAATCCAACTCATAACCAAGACACCTCATATATTCAGGTTTGTTTTATTTTTAAGAGAAGAAATGTCTTCCATCGCGTACACACAAGAGATGTTTTGGAAGAATGTGGGAACCGAGCCTTCAATATGGTGATGTGATTCAGGTTTTCATGCCTGTGACGAGCCGAAGCCCAGGAGAACACTCTCTGTTCTCTCCTGCAACTGCCATGTGGTTTTGCCATTTCAGCTGCAGTTAATGGAAATTCCCTTGTCAGTACTTTGACTCCTGGCAAGGGGAGCAACGTGAATTTTCTCCCAAGAGTCCTCCCCTGAGCTGCAATGGATAAAATATGCAAGGGTAGCCCTCTCCAACTATCTCTAATACTGGAAATCTGATATCTCTATCATATCATTCACTCCCATGCATTCACTTATTTCTGTAGGAAGTTTTGAAAGTCAAGCAACTTCCTATGCTCTGTCTCAGGCACCAGGCATCCTTGACATGGGTGTCAATTCCAGCACATAGGTGACCACAGTGACTTTTAGTTTTCATCTTGGCATCCCTTTTGGAACCTCTGTTTGTCTGACAAATAAGCAAGGCTGTACTGTTATGGAAGAATGCAAAAAGAACTCTCTCCTCATCTGTGTATCCAGAGAACAGAATTCTAAAAACATCAGCTAGAGCATACCAGCACACTGTAAGAACCCCTGCAAATGTGTCTGGAATGAACCTGGTACAGATCCAAATGGATCCCCCAGAGAAGCACTGCTGGAGTTCTCAGCTGTCAGCACCTCCGAACGTGACCTTTTGCGGTCTGTATGCTGAAGGGTGGTCTTTAGGTAACCCTAACTCAACATGACAGTGTTCTTTAGACAATCAAGGCAAAGATAGGACTAGATACACGTTAAAGACAATCACACACCAGCAAAGGGCAGAGACCTGGAATAGACCATTTTCAGACAGCCTTTCAGGGGAATTAATCCTGCAGTCATCTCAATCTAGGGATTGTGCCCTCTACAAGTAGGAGCCAATCCCTTTCTTTTATTTAGGTCACCCAGTTTGGGGCATGTTGCTAACAGCAGCCTCAGTAAACTAACGTAGAACCCGCTAATGGCTACACTGGGGTGACAGTTTCCTTGTTCATGAACTGTCTTCCTTAAGGTCCAGCATTTCTAATCGCCAGGTGTGCTAGTGCACGCCTGTAATTCCAGCATTTGGGAGGGTAGAAAATAGTTTGCAAATTCGAGACCAGTCTGGGCAACAAAGTGAGCCCATAGTGAGACCCTGTCTCAAAAAACAAAAAACAAAACAAACAAACAAAAAAAAAAAAACCTTTTATTGCAATGGCTCTAAAAAGCCCTAACTTTATCAGACACGTACTATGCCCTAAGACCAAGCACCTATCTTGCCTAACTGTCTTTAAGAAGTTCATTTCACATGCAGAAAAAACAGTCCCACAGATTCACCCTGGATCACAGATGCTAAGATGAATTTCTACACAACACAGGGATGTCCTCATCGGATCTCAGGGCCCTTAATCAAAAAATACACCCACAAAGCACCCGAGTCCCTGCAACTTCTTTATGCTAGCTTCTCCAAAGGTTGCACCTTTATGCTTAAAAGTTTGCAGGTTGTACTCTGGTAGGTGTGGAAAAGTGGGAAAAATTTTTAAAAAAATAAAAAGGGAGCGGCCAGAAAGATCGAGGAAACAAGGGTAGAGCACTTTGAAGAGCGCAATCATTGCAGCTCTCTCCACCACCTTTGCAATCAGGTTGGCTCAACTCAGGGTACTTGAAGCTCAGGGATGCAGACGCGGGCCAGCTACTGCGCATGCATAGCGAGACCTTCTCCCCCTCCCCCGCAGGTTTTGGTCCAGAGCCGCAGCGAAGCGGTGGGCAAAACTGAAATGGAAATTAGCCCGGGGCCTGGCGCCTGGGGCTTGGACGAACCCTTCCTAGAGGTGACGGAGATCTTTTGGCTGCAAAGCGGTGGCTCGTAGTGATGCCACTTTTGAACATCTTTGCAAACTCGTATCCACTCCATAACCCCCTTGCACCTTCCTTACGGTCGCGCTTCCCCAATTCATGAGAAAGGACTCATTAGAAACCGGTAATCTATTGTTATCCAAAATAGAGTACACGACTAGATTCCCCGAGGCACTTCGCTGAGCGGCACAGCAAGGAACATGAAAGGAAGGAGGGGTGTGTGGGTGAAACCCAGCAGACGCCTATTTGGCGCCTCCCGCGACTTAATTCAGCTCAGCTCTGTGGCTCCAACCAAAACCCAAGGACGCGCGTGCCCAGTTTCGCCAGGCACGCGCGGGAATACCAACGGGGAGGAGTACGCGTGCGCAGCACGTTGCGGGCGCGCACAGACTCCCGTGGAGCGCGCATACGCCGCGCTGGGTAAAGTGCGCGTGCGCATATCGGGTTTGCGGAAGAGCTGGCGTGCGCGTAACTTCAGGGTGGAAGACTGCGCGTGAGCAAAACTGATGGGGGGGATGCGGGTGCGCGTGCCTCTTCGCTCGCCCCCACCGTGACAGAGCTCCGGCATTATGGCGGCGCCCGCGCCCGCGCCCCCGCCGTGGCGTGCCACTCACCTCCTCTTTGACATGGATTGCTTCTGGGTGGGTGGTCCCTAGTGATAGCGTTCTCGGGAGGGCGCGAGATCGGGGATGTGGGCATTCAGGACTGGGGGGCCACGGAGGGGCGGCATCCCGGAGCGCCCTCGGTCCCATGTTCCCGCCGGCCAGTGGATGTCGCCTCCACGCGGCCCCGGCACTCGCTTCCGGTGGGGCGGGAGCGCTTGAGGGAGCTGTCCCAGGGGACCACCGTGCACTGCAGAGTACCAGTGCCGCCTTCCCTCTTCCCCCTCTTTCTCCCCCCAACTTTTCTCCGCGCTCGCGGTGGTTCGCGCTCCTTTTCCGCCAACCCGGGGGACCACCGGGATCCGTGCACTGCCTCAGTTTCCCCGGCTGCAAAATAGAGTCAGGGCTACCTGTCTGCTGGCTCCAGTGCTGCTGCGGGGGAGTGGGGGGGGGGATGAGGGTTGCAGCATCCTTTGCTGAGAGGGTTCTTCTCAATTGACCTTATCACCCCTGCTGCAGACTTGGCCTTCCTCCTGGGAGCGCAAGATTGGAAACATTGTCAGGGTCACAGCTGGACTCAGGAGGTGGGGTTACTGCCAAAGTAGGGAAGTCCGAGTGTTTGCAAAATTCAGCCCTGGAAGCCAAGAGCGGAATTCAGCCAGTCCTAGAAGGGCAGAAATTGAGAAACCCTTGCTTAGTTTTAGCCCAAAGGACACCCCATCCCCAAACCTGCAGAGTCCCAATCTGCGTTGTAATCCAAGTGGCTGAAAGTTTGAGAAACACTGATCTCTACGGATTCCTAGTGATGTACCCCACAGCTCAATCACTTCTAGCAGGAAAGTACTTTACCAGAAAAGGGGATCCACGCAGAATTCAAAGAATTAAAGACACTCAGTTGAAAAACTCCTGAGACAAAAGTGTTGATCTCAGCCCAAAGCCTCTACAGAATAAATGCCTCAAAACATATGTTCTCACGTCCTCTTTGATAGGATTATTTCCAGAGGATGAAAAATACTTGCAAAAGATGAGGAGTATAAAACAACAGAGGCCTTTATTCTGAGAACATGGGGAGAGAGGATTGGCGCCCTGGCCGCTAGAATCTGGCGATCTCTCTCAGGGGAACAGGGGCGTGGGAATATAAGTAGCCTAAGCTTAGGGCAGTGCCCTAAGGCCATTAGAGATGCACAGGTATTTCATTGGCACAAGTTTGGCGCCAGGGGCAGGTTCCAAAGGGTGGGGGGTATACAGTTACACGTAAATCTCTAGGGGCGGGGGAGGCAGGAGCTCCCTAATTCTGGCTGAGGCTTTTTCTGGCTACAGTGTTGGTCTGGGTCAGCAACCCTTTCACTCTTTACTGGAAGACTTCCTGAATCTGTAAACAAGACTCCCTACTTTGTTTATACACTGTTGACATGACTGTGATTGCTTCATCTCCTACAGCCCTGCTAGGTAGGAGGAAATATTTTTACTTGACTAATGAAAAACAAAAGATTGCGACTCAGGAGAGTTTGTAAAGCTGTTTGTCCAAAGTCTAGCACTTAATGAGGAAGATAGTCTGGAAGTGATTCTAAAGCCATTTAGAGCTAAGAATAAATGATCTGCTCATCTTAATTTGTGAATGTGACCTTGGACTCCAAAATCACATTTCCAAATTGTTCAGCTGTAATGAGACTGATTTTTTTAATGGCACACAAAAACTAGCCTCTTCCTTTCTTTTAAGAATACAGATAAAAACAGATTAATTCCCAAGCAGGAAAAACAAATCCTCACAGAAATCACTCATTAGGATGAGCAATTAATGGAGGTACAAAATTTGAAATTTGAAAAGCTGCTGGGATTCATAAGCAGAGCTGTAGATGTGAATTTTCTTACTCAGGTGGGCAAGAAGTTTAATTGTCAAATAAATTTCTTAGTCACTGAGGAAGAGTCCAGATAACCTGCTCCAAGAGGTTCATGAATTTTAATACAAACCTCGATGACTCATTACAAGTAAATTTTTCAAAGTTGTAGACGAGCTTGATGGAGAATCCTGACCCTGGGTTTCACACACATGTAGCCAAGCCCTTGAGAGAGGACCTTAACTGGCATTGAGTTTCTTAGGAGTCACTACCAGCCAGGGTCTTTTGGGCAGTTGAAGTAGGTTGGTTGGTTGATAAAGCAGGAAACTAATGTTAGCCATTTCCTCTCATCTTGTCCCAGAACTGATTCATGCCATTTGGGGAAAAAAAAAAAAAAAAAAAACAACTAGCAAAAATAAGGCAGAAAACTATGGCCCTCTTTTTTTTTTTTTTTTTTTTTTTCTCGTTCCCTTGTTTTCTGTCTTATTTCTCCTTCCTTACCCCTTAGGCACCTGTTAAAGGATCAGATCTCACAGAACTTCCCCAGAAGTTTATCTTTGCAACCTCTGTGGCACAGAATGTCTCCTGTAAAACATAGCTTTCTAAACACACACTATTTTGTTTCACTGACCAATGTGTGCCAGCGCTTCTGTGCATCTATTGTTTAGATAGCAATAGATTAACAGTTTCTAATGAGTTCTTTCTCAGCACCCTCTCTTTTGTTTTGGAACCTTTATTACCTTTACCCAGATCAGTGTCATGGCCAGTATAGCCTCAGCCCCCTGCATCTCAGGGAAGTGAACTTGAAAATAAAATAGTTTCACAGGGAAATATTTACATTACAGGGGAAAGTCGATTAATCAGATAAAAATGAGGAAGTAAAATGGGTATTTTAGCAGACCTGTTGAGGAAAATACTGGGCACTTCACAGCGCTTTGGAAATAGATGATGCCAGTAATTTTACTTTTAAACAGAAAAGACACTTTGGGATTCAGGGTTTTTTTGTTTGTTTGTTTGTTTGTTTGTTTGTTTTTCAATCTTTGGGTTTGCGCCCAGGATCTAACCCCAGGCCTCCCACATTCTAGACTAGCATTTCTCCCTGAGCTCTATACCACCGACTTTTCAGTTTTTATTTTGGGACTGGGTCTTCCTAGGCTGCCCATGCTGGCCTAGAAATAGTGATCTTCCTGCCTCAGCATCCTGAACGGCTGGGATTACAGGGACGCACCTCCTAACCCAGCTCAGAGTCATCTTTATTTTTTTTTAAACTTCACACAAGGTATCAATTAACCAGCTGTGAATTCTCTGTTTTGTGTCTCAAGTGTCATTCAGAGAGTGGGAAAAGGGAACTGAAATTTAAAAAGGTGACAGGATCTCAAAGGAAGAAAAAAGATGATGGATATTTCAATATCTGAATATCCAGATTGGAAAAATTAGCTAATCTATATGTCACTGAAACGACAAAAGATGGGCTGTTTTTCTTTAAAAGAGACCTTAGTCGTCCAGAGTGAATATAAAAGCCAAAAGCATTCAGATGAAATGGGTTTGATGTAGTTTAACCTAATGTTCCCGGAAATCTGTTTTCTGGCCCATAGTTAAAAAAATGATGGAGTTGGGGCTGGGGATTTAGCTCAGCAACATAAGCGCCTGCTTTCCAAGCAGGCGGTCGTGAGTTCGATCCTCAGTACCGATTAAAAAAAATGATGCAATTTTCACCCCTGTTTTAGATAACTGGATCCTCAAACAGTTTTTTATGGTGTTAGCATAGCTCTCCTTGAAGCACATCATCTCAGGTATTCTGTCACCACATCTGATGAGTTGCCACATTTAAATATGGGGGGCATGAATCCTAATCTATGCCATAATGGCCATAGTACGAGGGTGGTGGATGGAGGTGGGATGGGTGTTTCATGAATACTCATAATTTGCAGTTTGGATACATGTCACCTGTGGTGTGCATCAGATGTGTGTTTTTTAGGAGTCTGATACAGTTACTTAAAATCCTTTTACAATCATCAGAAAATAGAGGTGGGGGGTATAGCTCAGGGGCACTGCACCTGGCTGCCAAGTGCAGGGTCCTGAGTTCCATAATAAGAAAAATCTGGGAGCAGAAGTAATATTTGGAGCTTCGCCATGGAATGCGGTATCTGAATACAGCGTGGCAGTAATTGGCCAAGGGTTCTGTCTCTGCATCCTACAGTGAGCTTGAGCCCTGTTCTCTGCCCTCCGCTGGCACATAGCTGCCTTCTTGCTTAGTGTGGGCACTCTGGATAGTATAGAAGAGCCTGCCACACCTTGCGGGTTGTGTGAGACACCTTGAGGGCCCAGAGACATGGTGTATGCAGTGGACAGGGTGCCCGGCCCTGAGAGGTTGAGTGTGAGCATGGTCCCCCACGAGCACGCTCGCTTAACTTAGCCTAGGCTATTGCTTTCAACCTCCAGACATCATAAAGCGAAGACCCAAATCGTGTCACTTTCCTTAACATCAGCCAAGCCCTGGGTGAATTTTGGGAAGAGCAGGCACCTGCGTTCTTTGAACCCCTCTGCTACCTCTGAGGTTTAAGCATGGAGATGAGGTATTGCTCAAATTAGTTAGTTCTGGTCACCTCATGTCATCATGCTGTTAATTCCAGGCTGGGCTCTTTAGAATCTTGGTGTATCTCTCGGGCAGGCAAGTGTCAAAGAGGCATTGAATGATCTTTCAGCCTGGGATCTTGCAGAAATGCTGGTAGAAGGCAACACAGTAATCACATGCTCTTGATTTCAGAGAAATCCCAGCCCCACACCAGCCTGTATTGTGGCACCTGGTCTGCAAATCAAGGCAGCAGCCCTGGTTGGTTCTCATTCTGCCTTTACTCTTGCTCTCCTGGCAGCTAACTGTTCCCTTGGCTTTATTTTACCTGGATCAGTGAGACGGAGAGGCCAGACTTGGAACAGAGGCATCCAAAGCGTCCTCTCCTTATAGACCGGTCAATGAGTAGCAGTGTTGTTTCCCAAACTAGAAAGTTTTGAGGTAGAGGACAAGCTGCTGTTTTATGTGAATGAAAAGGCTTTGCCTGCAGGGCTCGGCATCCTTGGGATTCTGTCTTCTCACGGACCAGGACCATTTCAACCTGAAGTGTGTTCCTCTAGTTAGCCATTCGTGGCCCAGGACCACCCTTCTTGTCTTTCCAGTGATCGAGAAAGGGTGAGACTGAAACGGTCAGCAGATTTTAGAGTGCAGGTGTGAAATACTTGTTCTTTCTTTTCTTTGTCCTGCTTTCCTGTTCTTCTTGGTGTGGCTTTATTTGGAATCTGAGCCATGCAAACTGGGTGGAATCAGAGGAGAGTGGTCATCACTTTCTTGTTTGTTATTTTTGGAGCAAGTACTTTGTTCTTTTGTCTCCTTGAAAGGCTGGGTGGGAGAGGATTTTACTGGTCTCCTTTTTATGCTTGATTGAGCTTTATTCTGATTCTTTTCTTCCATATCATTTGAGTATCAGTTACTCTGTCATTTGTCAGGGCTAGACAGAGATTTAAAGCAATTTGTACAAAGCAGTCTCCTTCTAGATACAGGCGTATAAATTTCCTGGTTATGGTTACTTGTCAGGTCTTTCCATGAGATACTCAAAAAGCGATGCATGGTTTCTATGACTGGTGTCTCCTCCAAACTCGTATACTGAACCCTGATCCCCAGTCCAGGGTTGGTAAAAAGTATGCAGCTTCTTTATGATAGCTGTGTCCTTACATATAGGAAGAGTTTCCTCTTAAGAGAATCCTGTGGAACCTGGCGTGTCCTTGTGCCATGCCAGGGCCCAGCGAGGAGGTAGCAAGTATGAAGT